TTTTGCGATTACAACATTGAAAAGAACACCACCAAAAACCTATAAGCGCCTAGTTTACAATTTTCGAGTGCTGTGGTATAATCGAGTTTTTCAGAAATTCGGGTTTCGAAAAAACTGAGTTCTGCTCTTAGAATTTCGTATTAATATAAATGGAATCAGCACATGTGAAAGGGTATAGAAAACAGATTTCTCGTGATTAAGAACATTTTTTTATACATTTGGTTTGTCAAAGATCCTAGGTTTCGGGAAAACCTAGATGAAAGCCCTTTTTGAGCTTTTCAGAGCGCACCATTGGAAAGAGCACATCTGAAAACCTATCAAGAGAGTGTTTATAGACTTCGCCATTGCTTCTTATAGCACATGTTTATGTGGCTAGTCAAAATTGCCCAGTATGAAACGTGGAAGCCAATCAGAAAAAAAAGCACGCTAAAAGCATCTTTTTTTGTTACCTGAACGTGCTGAAAGCACGGGAAAAGTGTACTATTTGCCGTATTGGAGATTGAAGTTTGAACTTCCGCAAGCTTTGTGGCAAGCTTTTTCTGTGCTATTTGTCTATCTTTACCGTGCTTTTCCAGGATAGTGATTAAGATTAATTGATATTATTAATGAAATATTTTAGTTCTTCTAAATTTGAACGAAATAGTAATTACATATTTGATGAATCAAAGCTATCGTTCCGTATTTTTTACAACTTAACGGTGGTCACCTTTGACAATAAAAATTGACAACTTGAGAATAATCAACAGCAGTGTTTTTAAACACGGCGGATACGCAGACTTGCCACTGCACCATGAAAAACTAAAATCCACTGTAATTTCCACTGTATGTTTAACTTTAAATCTGATCTTGAAGTGAATTTTGATTGAATTGCAAAATCTAACTGTTAGTTTCCACTATGAAGTTGTTTTCTCAGTAAAAAACATTCACCATGACAAAAAATTTCGGTTAAAAAGACTGATAAACAATCATATTTTCTACTAGTTGTTAATTTTTTCTAACAAGAATGACCCATCACTCAGACTAAATGATTCTATGGTTCAGTTTTAAAATTTCTCAATGAAAAGTTTTCATATGTCATAAAAATGCTGTATTTTCTCTTGGAATCATGGCATTTTCAATTTTAATGATTCCAGTATATAGAGCTCAATCTCAATAGGTTTCTGACACTATCAGTGTGATTGTATTCAACAATTAGTTTCACGCAGGGATTCCGCTTCTTTTTTGGTCAGAGGGACTAAAATTGTAGCGCGAAGCTTCTAAAAACTTTTGAAAATTAACTAATCCCACATGAAAAGCTTGACGAAAAATCAGAAATTCCATGAAGGGGCTAGCACCTTCCCTGATCGAAATCGCTGGTTTCGCACAGAAAACGAGCAATTCAAATTATGCTAGCGATACGCATATATCAGCTGCTGTGTAAGATATGAAAAAACACCAAATTATGACAAATATATGATGATATCAGTCATGAAATAAGCTCGTCTTTGTAGATGAAATATGTCTATTGCACTTCCATTCAAAATCTATATGACACACCATGAATATCACGTACTTGTGTTTTCTGCATACCTCTTTTTACCATCTAGTGACCTCCACCATCAATATATATTGGCTGTTAAATGTTTGTCGAGATCATCTGAAACTTAACTTGATTACCTGTTACTCATATTTAATACAAAAACGGAGTGCACTACTTCACCCTTTCTTTAGTTTCTTTTTTATTATTGCATAATGAATGATTGATGTAATTGATTGACATTTTTTCCTTTTGGGTGCTCGATTTCTATTTCGTTTTCTAATAACAAATATACATTGTTTTAGAGCACATATCACGCGAGACAAAATTATTTAGATTAAAACACATTCATTAGGTTTTTGACTTTGTTCTGTTGAAAAAAAAACATGATGACTTTTTTAACTGCACTTTTTTATCTATTACTAACTTGATGACGTTCTCGGTATGGAATTGTAATAATACATATTAGTGAGATGGTAACTACATTATTGTTTGAAAGTATTTTATTGTACGAAAATGCATTTCAACGTTTTGAGACTAATACTGTTCAAAGTGAAGGTTGCGCAGTCCTCATCTCTTTTCTAATAGAAACGATGACCCTGGAAGGCACGACTTTCTTCCAGTTTTAACGTAGTGAGAGTAAATTATTGACAAAATATAAATTTTTTCGCGTTTTTTTTTTGCAATCCAAAACTAACATATTTTAATACGAAAACAACGATAAACTATTATTATATTGAATGGTTTAATTCTCGTTAAACTTCCTCAAATATTCGGAAAGGATTCAGGGTTGGTCGATGCCACCCACACAACTCATTCTTTTTATGTATAATGAAATATTATTTCATTATTTCATTATTTCACGTCACTTTAAAAGTGACGTGATTATTAGGAACAGAAGAGATCATTAACCTACTCTTAGCTCTCGGAGATATTTTATGTCGCTCTAGTCTTATTTTAACGAGAATCAACGTTACCAAGTTGTCAAACAGCTGACATAGGCAGAGCTGGCCCGAGACACTTAGGATTGGGGGGAAGGGCGAAATTTTATTAACGATTTTTTCTAAAAATTAAACTGCTTTTCCACAGGGAGTCGACCTTTTTGCAAAATATTATCTTTTGACTGATAAAAAAATTATTTTCAATTATGGAGGAGTCCCTCGAGGGCCACCTCTAGACCTAGATTAGTTATAAGGAAGAATGAAAAATCATTACTACTCTGTTAGGCGCTAAACGGATAGAAGAGGATCTAAAGTGCACAGAATCAGTGAGGATTTGCCAGAGCTTCGAATGGGCTCAAACTTTTGTAAATAGTCCTATAGACTTGGCAAAGCTTTTTTTCGATTCTCGTGTCTTATGAAGTATAACAACGGTAATTTTCATTGATGAGTATCAAGTAAAACTTTTTGCATCTTCTTAAACTAGTACACGCAAAAGGAGTTAAAATCTGTTCGTAAACCATCTATTCATTTACTGACACCATCAGGACATTTCACACATGGAAAATCAAATACTTTCCAAACCTCTGATTTTGCTGCTACAGAATCGTTGTCCGTTACTGCGTAATTGTTTTTTTGTGTCTCAAAGGATTATTTCATTAGGGTATAGACATGAGTTTGAGATATTAGATGAGACGCTGTCATTTTTCCAAACTACGCTTTATTTAAGAAAGGCTAAATTTTTATCTAGAACTGAGTGAGCATTGACTGATAATGACAGAACTTCTCTTAACATTGAATTATCGTTTTTACTCTAAGCACTATCTTCGTTTTTGAGCTTTCCAGTCATCTAGGTTCATCGTCAGAAAAATGCGCAAAGAGCTGTTTCTACATGGAATTTGTATACATGAACGAACCTATGAAACAGTTCATCTGACGATAGTTATACTAAAAGAAACACACGAGGAGACTAACAGAGAATGAAAAGAAACAACAAAATTAAATTAAATTCTTAAAAGGGCTAGAGAAGAATGAGAGATATATACAGAAGGATTCGTCAGTCAGAGAATAAAGTAAAAATAATCATATCCTCATTCTTCTCTAGCCCTTTTAAGAATTTAATTTAATTTTGTTGTTTCTTTTCATTCTATATTAGCCTTCTTGTGTGGTTCTTTTAGTATAACTGTCGTCAGACGAATTGTTTCATAGGTTCAGCTTGATGAGTTTTCTAAAAACTACGGGTTTTGAGCTATTGCCGCGTCAAATAAAAATTTTTATAGCAACATTATTTTTAATTCAAATCGCTTAAAACTTTGAGAATACGTACGTTTTGAATCACCTAAAGTCTTCGATTTTGAAAACAAAAAATTTGCAAGTTTTCCTGCCTAGATTTTTGAGATGGTTTCTGGAAATCCTTCTTGAAAGCCCTAAAGGGTTATGAATCCAACTTTTTAATCCTGAATCAGCTGTAAAAGCGTGTAATAAGCGTTTCCTCAAAGTTTCAAGCGATTTTAATCAGAGTTGGATTTATAACCTTTTAGGACTTCCAAGAAAGTTATTTGACGCGGCAATAGCTCAAAACCCGTAGTTTTTGGAAAACTCATCAGCCGAAGTTATTTTACTTTCCACATTAAAATAAGCATTGCCACGATGATCAGAAGCATCGATTATCTGTCAACCATATATTTCTGATACCACTAGACCACGAGAAAGACCGATCCTGATTGTCCCAGCAGTATCGTTATTCCTCCTGAACAACGGATTTCGAAGCCCTCGCTTATCTTGTAGAACGCACTTTAGACTATCTATCCAAAAAAAAATCAATAGATTGTTGTGTTCCTTTTCTGCGATACGAATTGGTTTTCGAAAGCAGAGATGGGCGAGTACCAGTATATACTTGTACTCGAGTACAAAATTTTCAGTACTCGTACTCGTACTCAGGACTTTTTTTTACAAGTACTTAAAAATGTACTCGAGTATTTTCGAGTACTTGAAACTTTTTAACATAGAATAACCTATAATTAAAATAACTTTTTCATGAGTATTTTCTTCTTTTAAAAATTTCGTGAGAAAAAAGTTCTACTACTCGAGTACTTTTTAGAAAATACTCGTACTCGTACTCGAGAATCTGCATACTCGTCCATCTCTGTTCGAAATATCCTCTGCAAAACCGTTTTTTGAAAATTTTCTGAAAAAACCTTTTATGGAAAGATGACATAAAGTCTTGGCTATCGAACGGTGAAAATCGCACATCTCTAGCACATTATGTTCCCAAGTTATTAAAAGTATAGTCAGAGACATTATATTTTGAAAACGATAATAGCATTTCATACAACTACTCTCCTTCTTATTTGAGAAATTTATAGGACTAAAAATGAAAATCCATCATTATTGCTAATAGTATATCTCAAAGCATTACCTAATATAGACATACAAAAAACAATAGCTAACGAGTATATATATATGTATAGATATCTCTGTAAATAAAATATATAAACACAAAGAAAAAAACAGAGAAAACAAAAAAGGCAACTGGTAATGTCTGTCTACTTTGGAGGACTTTTTAATTGTAGCAAAAGTTTTGTACCGCGTAAACATGTGACTATATCATTCATAAAACTTGTTACATTTGTATCACGTTCTTGACGCAGACCAGCATAAATTAGCACAAGATATACTCTGGGATCGATACTTTGAACAACAAATGTTTGTCGTCTACCCTAAAAGAAGAAAGATATTGAGAGCCATACAGAAAAAATAGTCTACATGAATTCTACAGTGACAAGTAATATACAGAAATACTTACTGAATCATATTGAAAACTAGGTTTATCACTTGCTTCTGTTTTGTTAATAGATAGTATTGCGTGAAGATGATCAGATTCAGACACCTAAACACGACAGAATACTATGCATCTCATACTAAGTAATGTAATATCTCAAAAGTAAATCTAACTACCGGTAGTTTTGATGGATAAGTGAAAACAGGATGAAAACGTTCATCATAACATTTTTTATCACTATTTGACTGTGTTTGTGGTCCATCTGCATTAGGGAAAATTTGTTCTTGCTTTTGTTGTGCATTATTATTTTCACAAGGAACTAATGTATCGACTAAAAATAAAAGAAAGACACATCGTAGAATTGATTGATACAAAGGTGACTTTGACTTTCATGGTAATTTTTGACCCCAGAACGGGATATATGTAGGTTTGTAGAGGAAGACTTCCTCTATCTAGTGGTATATATATTATCAAATTCTGTTGCGTACCGTGAGAGAAAATTAAAGGTAACCCCTCCCTTTTTACACTTTTTTAGAAATATTTTTTATTTTTGAGTTAAATATTGTACAT